GAACTCTCTAAAAATCAGACTTTCACTATTCACACATCAGTTCCGGAAACAGCCAACAACAATCCGTTCTTCTCTGCGGAAGCCAGGTACGATATCATGAAAGATGCTCTAACGGATTTCAGGCTAACGATACAGAAGAGCAGCTAGGTTGAACGCGTATGGCTGCAACTGCAGCTCTTCCTAGTGGAGAGATATCTTACAAGTTAAAGAACGTGTCTTACCTTCGCCCACAGTTTCCCTCCAAGGCGGCAGTGGTCTAGGAGGAAGGGTCGAAGTGAAAGTAGATATGCCGTTTTTCGTACCTAACCGCAAGAACGACCGACAGGAGGAGTACGATTACGCGTTGGGTTCTCCTAATCTTAACTAAACTAAACTAAACTAATCTTGCAGGTTCACTGTTTTTGAATGCTGTAGGCTTCTATCAGTACGTACATAGACTTGACAGTTTGCAGGTTCCATCGAACAGGTTCAACTGCTCTGATTCGCTTTTGAGAAATAGCCGTTAATTCCCAAATCCGCTTTCTATTCAGAAACACAAATTTTAGTTGACGGGACGCCATATCCTGCTACAAGGCACAAGTTCCTGAGTGTGTTTGGCTCGTTGGCATGCAGCGTGGCGGTTTGGTAGACCGGCTATCTGGCTTGGAAGCCTACAATATCGATGGGCTTCATAACATAACGATAACATCTGTCGCCGAAGTGAGCACGATGTTTTGTTCTGGGGAATGGAACTACTGAGAGATCATCTGTTTTCCTGAATCCTTTCATAATATACGTGAAAATCCATGCAGCTGCCTCCGGAAGAGCCAAAAAACGTGGCGTATTTTGATGGATCACTTAACGCCTCCATCGTTTTTTGTTGAAGGCTGCTCCACTTGAAAATACCGGAGTGTCATGAAATGCTAGGGATCTCAAAACCAGGGTCAACCCTACGTTGTTACTAGTAACAACGGGGGGTCGTACCTGGTTGAGTTTGTAGGAGGGGGGTCGTACCCGTTTCAGTCGCTGAAATCACATGTGAGTTTGAGGTGAAACTAAGTTTTCATGGGTAGTAGGCTGGGTGAGTTGGGGGGCGCAGGATAAAAATTTGCCGTTTCAGCGCGCGTATA